GAAACAAATTATTTACGCTTCCATCAAGGTCAACAGTTAGTAACAAACGGGTTAAACCTGCAACATGATCAGTATACTCATCCACCACAGAATCATCGCCATTTCGACATCAAAATCTACACTCGTCCGTCTAGAGTTTGCAGTGCATATGGTCAATCGACGGTCCGGAACACAGCAAACACCGCCATACAGCTTCATTACAGCGGACACTGGTAACAGTATAGTTTTGGGCTCACTACAACAAGCGAAAAGCGGAACCGGGATTAATAGGGATTAAATGGTTGGAGCATATCAAGGGAAGCGAACAAAATTAAAAAGAAGAGCACTTGAAAGTAGACAATGGTAGGAACAAAAATTTAAAAACTTAATATTTGGCCAAAAAGCGCGCGATAAATAAAATGGAAAATCTAACCAGTGTGACCAAGAACCGCACAAATTTCGGAACTGCGCAAGGAACAAAACTAAAATAAAACAAATAAAAACTTATAATTAAGGTAAAAACAAATTTAAAGTCAGAACTAAAATAAACCAAAATTGAACTAAAAAGGGAACCGAACTAAAACCAACGTCGAACTAGTAGAACTCGAACCCAATCTCAAAATAACCAAAAAGTAAGATAAAACTAAGAATAGTTGGCTAAATATAAAAAAAGTTAAATGAATTATGCTATTTGCACAAATAAATTTCGAGAGAGCTTATCAACTGCTTCCTCTCTTTGCATGAATAACGAAACAATTGGAGAACATTTCATTTTGAATTTTCACAAAATCTATAATGGCAAGGTCATGTTAACGTGGCGAATGGTCAAAAGTTATGTCAACTTTAAACTTGGGACGGAAATTAGGGAGGGGAATTAACAAAAATAAAAGTGAATTATGTATTTACCAAGGCAACTGAAGATTAACTACATGGTCTAGTTGCTTACATAAGTCGGTTTTCTCCCGCCGTATGGAAGAGGCTTCCATGTAACGCAAGGTCCGGTTTGTTCGTGCTCAGACGAGAACGCGGAAAGATATAATGGTGTCAACGGAGTGACCACTGTTTAGCAAGTGTTTCGTAACGGATGATGTGGCACTTTGTTTTCTTGTTTTACAAGCCAAGCAGGCAAATTTTCAGCAGCCCTGGTCGCCAATTGCCTTTGTGTATGGCCAGTGTACTTGCATCCGCAAGTGTAGGTGAATTCACAGACGCAGTTTGAGGTGACGTGAAAAGGCAAGGCTTCCTTTGATCGGTTAACTGGGAGGCTTTTAGTTGGAGGGACGAAAACAAGTTCGACCGCATAGTACGTTCTCTTTACTCCAACTACCAGACCTTTGCCTCGAAACCAACTTGTCC